CTCGGACCCCGGCGCCCTCGGACCCCAGCGTCCTGCGCAGGCGTCAGCAGGAGGGGCGCAGTCGCCACTCCGGGTGGAGCAAATGCTGCCCCTGGCAATTTATGACTCACCGCGGCATGTGTGCAACTGGCTTACGATGGATAAACACCTGAAACCTGTTTCCTGCACCCAGTCTACAAGGTGCAGTCTAGTCTAGACTCTTAGCTGGGCCTTGGAGGCCCCCGGCGGGCCGGCTCAGCTTGGCCTCCCCAGCCCCAGGGCGGGCCCGACCCTGCGTCTGTGCCCTCCGACTAGCCCCTAGAGCCTACCACGCTGCCCCCTCTTCTGGCATCTGTAAAGCTTGGATCTGGCCGCCAGCTGCGCCGAGCCGAGCTCAGGGCCCCTCACTGCTCCTCAAGCCCCCTGCAGGGTGTCAGTTTGGATCTTCATTCCCTGCATCGTCAGACCGGGGGCTTCCCAGGGCCTGCCCGTTCTGCTCATCTGCTGAGCACCCAGTAAGGGCAAGTGACCAATGAATGACAAGAGAGATGAAGAGCAAGCCCCGAGGAGCTAGGGGGTCAGAGGTGAAGCTCGTGGTCAGAGCAGGGAGAGCTCTGAATCTCTTAAGCTCAGAGAGGAAATTACCTTGTGGATGGCATGTATTTTAGGCAGCTCACATGAGAGGGCATATCAGTTACCAGAATGTGAATTTGGAGTTGACAAGTGTAATGCAATGATTTGGAATGATTCTGTATTCTCTCAGCAGTTTTATTGAAAGACTGGACCCAATGGACAGCAATCAAAAGATAACTGTTTTCTCTTTCTCTTTGTCCCTTCAGGCACCTCTCTGTCTCTGGCTTTATCCTTCTCTCCTGGATTAATTACTCACTGCAATGAGTTTTTTCAACAATGGGTGTGTTTCTGGTGGGCAGACTGTGTAGACCCTCCTGAATTGTTCTTGGCCTTCCAGGACTCAGCTAAAACGGAGGCTGAAAGCCCTCCAACTTAACAACCTGTTTGTTACACTGGCATTTCCCAGTGGGACCTGGGAAATCAACATAAGAAATGCTGCTCACTGGAGTTCCTCTTGGGAGAGTCACATATACACAATCCTATTAAAGGTTCTGAAAAGTCCTTCAGATTACAAGCTGTTAAACTTTATTTAGCCTAGTATTCCCAAAGTATTTGACCACAGAACCCTTTCCCCAAACACTTTTCTATTGGTGTACTCAGGTCAGCTGAGGCTAAAGAAATGAGAATGTATGATAGGGACAGAGTGAAGTCTCCTGGAAACTGAGGCAAAATGTGGCTGGCTCTCAGGATGGATGGAGCAGGAAGTTAACTGTCAGGACTCAGCTCCTCATTCCTGCTTCTCTCCCTGCTGAACTGCCTCCTCTGCCTCTCTGGATGAAGTGCAGAACACAGCACCTTCCCCCCAGCATCCAGGGTTGCCGGGCATGGGTCTCACCAACCCAGAGAAACTGCCTTGACCCTTACCCTGTCCCAATTCCAAACTCCTTGGAGAGAGAATCCAACTATATCTATCTTTTTCTTCCCTCTTCACACACACACACACACACACACCAGGCCCACACCTCATCCCCCACCTGGGTTAGTGTGATTGCGGATGGGGTGTGGAAGGTAGTGTGTCTGGGGGAGTGTTACCAGAAAAAGGAAGGTTGTTGGTTTGTGAACTGGATGGGACACCCACAAAGACAGACGTCCAGCACGTGACCTGTCCACATCCTGCGCAACATTGCTACCCCAGGCTGCACTGCCTTTTCTGTTCCTCGATCACACCAAACTCATGTATGCCTCAAGGCTTTTATACTTGCTGTTCCCTATACTTGGAATGTTCCTCTCCTAAATCTTCCCCAAGGCATATTAGGGTGGTGAGATTATGTTTGATTTTTCATCTCTCTCTTTTTTAATTTTTATTTATAATGTCATTAAATTACTCTCATAAATTGGGCCGGCCCGGTGGAGCACTGGATAGTGCGCCGCTTGGGAAGCGCGGCGGCGCTCCCGTCCGAGGGTTCGGATCCCACATACAGACCGGTTCCCGCTCACTGGCTGAGCGAGGCGCGGGAGCAGCATCGAGGGTTGCGATCCCGTTGCCGGTCCCCGGTCCGGTACGGGGGCAACACTGAGGGTTGCGATCCGTTGCCGGACATGGAAAAAGACAAAAGACAAAAAAAAAAAAAAAAAATTACTCTCATAAATTAAATATATGAGAATGTTGAAAATAGGGCATCTAAAACTTCATACCCCACCTGAGGTCGAATCCGTGCCTAGAACATTGTAACCATTATTTCCCTTGACCTGGACATGCTAGTTACTACAGCCAGCAAAAAATGTTTTATGGACAGTGAGATCACAGCAAAACCTGGCAGAATGCTGCCTCCCAGATCCTTTGCCTGAACTTATTTGAGAGTTCATCATATCACATCCCAGCTTTTCAGAGAACGGTAGCTCAAATATTTATTGGTCACTGTTGTGGGTTGAATTGTGTCTCCCAAAAGGCTGTGTTGAAGTCCTAACCTCTGGTACCTGTGAATATGATCTTATTTGGAAATAGGCTCCTTGCAGATGTAATCAACTTAAGATGAGATCATACTGGATTAGGGTGGGCGCTAAATCCAATAACTAGTGTCCTTATAAGGAAAGAGAGAATTGGACACAGAGGCATAGAGAAGACACAGAAAGGGAAGAAGACCCTGTGAAGACACAAGTAAAAACTGGAGCGAAGCAGCTGTAAGCCAAGGAACGTCAGGATTGTGGCAACCAGTACATGCTAGAGCCTTCAGAGAAAGCTCGGCCTGGCTGACACCTTGATTTTGGACTGCTAGCCTCCAGAACTGTGAGAGAATAAATTTCTCTTGGTTTAAGCCATCCAGTTTGTGGCACTTTGTTACAGCAGCCCTTGGGGTGAACACAGCCCCCTACTGAGTGCCAGGCACTGTTCTAGTCACAGGAGATTCAGGGTGAACAGAGTAGACAGGATCCCTGCTCTTGTAGTGGGGGAAGTCAGACAACAAACATTTAAATAAAGAACAAGAAAACCACAGTTCAAGAAGAGGGCTCCGAAGACAATGCAGTAAGTGGTGAGAGAGGGAAAAACTGGCGTGGGGGGTGGAGAGCAGGGTGATTTGGAAAGGAACAGGGGACATGTGAGTTGAGACCTACATAAAAAAGAAGACTGAAAGTGCACGTACAATTTCATCTATTTAAAACTTAGTATCTCATAAAATCATCTCTACTTTGGAACAGAAAGATAAATATCCTCCACTATGCAGGGGTCATTAGTTTTACTTTTGCATTTCTATATGGGGTTAGAGTAATGTTTTATGTCTGTCCTCTCTGTCGGACTGGAATTCTTTGAGGGCAGCAGCTGTATGTGATAGGTCTTCAGGCCTCAGTGCCGAGGTCTGAGCTGGACACGCAGGAGGAGGCTAGAGCGTGGGGTCTGCCTGGGGTTAAAAAGACTCAAGCCCTTACCTACTCTGCGACTCTGGAAGGTCCTTAATTCTCTGAAGTTGTTTCCTCATCTGTAAAATGGAGATCACAGTAATACTTAAACCATAGGGTTGTCGTGAGGATTAAATAAGACAATGTGTATAACGCTGTATATCCAGATGGGGAAGACCAGGAAGAATTTAGTATTGTCCTTAGTGTCTGACTTTTTACAGGAATGTATTTGTGTATTATCTGTAGAATTTTAAAAAGTTTTTAATTGTAGTAAAATATATATAATATTTGTCATCTTCACCATTTTTAAGCGTACAGTTCAGTGGCATTAAGTACACTCACATTGCTGTGCAACCATTGCCACTGTCTGTCTCCAGAACTCTTTTCACTTGGCAAAACTGAAACTTTACACCCACTAAATGATAAATCCCCACTCCTCACCACCCCACCCCACCCCCAGCTCCTGGCAACCATTATTCTACTTTCTGTCCCTGTGATTTTTATTTTTTTTTTCAAAAAGATGACCGGTAAGGGGATCTTAATCCTTGACTTGGTGTTGTCAGCACCACGCTCTCCCAAGTGAGCCATG